TTCATTACGAATCATTTTTGTCCACTGAATAAAAATATACCTTGATAGGGAATAATTTTATAAGTATAAGGTCCCCAAATTCTCTGAGATAGGAGGCTATGTCAGACATTTAACAACATTTCAAGAACTATTTTCTATGATAAATCAACTCCAACACGGAAAACGCTATTTGACGACGACGTGAGTCATTTTGACATCGATAAAAAAGGATGCACCTTTTTTACCGCTGATAAACTGACTGCTCCTTTGATCTAGTAGCTATTTGCGCCTGATGTAACTCCAATTTCTGTCGTGTCAAGTTTGATTGATGGGTATGGTTCATGCGTAAATTAGCAAGATGAGCCGTTTTAGGAGAATTTCGTCTGAAGAAACCAGGAAAATATGAGAAAATCAATTCCGCAAACTACCAGTTACATGGAATCATCAATGAAGGTAATCATTATTGTTGTTTATTTGTAAATTGTCGATGATTTATGTTGCCAAAGAACACTCGAACTTTTTTCCAATTGGATAAATTTCCTTACTTACTCAAACATTTTCCATCAGTTATTTCTCTCGAAAAACTGAGATTAAACAAAATTGCTCGACCTACGGTCTCGCAAATTTTTCATGTCAGTTTTTCTCGTGAAATTAATGTTTGGCAAATGTTTTTCGTTACCAGGAGAAATTTATCCGATGAAAAAAAGCTCTTCTGTTCTTACTGTTAATAAATACTCCTGAAACATATATATTCTAGTTTCATGTTGGTCGTAAGACGTTTAGTTCTCGAGATACGCGGGCGTTTAATGAGAATGAAACAAGTGATTTTCTTTCATTCAGTAGCAAGTCAACTAACAAAAATGCGAGAGTAATCAAACAGGTTTGTTGTATTTTTCAGCTAATATGAATGTTAGGAAAATATTATGTTTTAACCACATTTTAAACAGGTACTGATATAACATTTTGAAAATATATCATAAAATAACATATGAAAGTATGATCAGTTTTATAGGAGAAATGGCCTCCTGTTAGAAATCGATGAGACGTACAGTTTTCGAGTGAAAAAAAAAAACAAATTTGACTACAAATTTTGGTGTAGGTGTCGGATTGTTCATTGATGACATCCGTTCGGAATAATGGATAACCAACATTTTGGAACCATTTCGGTACCATGACCCATTTATTATTGCCGTAATGATAGCTCATACAGGTTGTTTGTAAAAACAATTTAAGGATTATTTCCAATTCCAACTAACTATTGTATCTTTTTCAATATAACCACTTGCACACCATTAAGCCAAGTATACTTTGGCAAACCTTAACAAACTGATATGGGGAAATCAACCCCATATAGCATTATATGGTGGAAACATCCCACCTAGTCATAAAATAGTGCAGGTCAATATCTCTATATCATAGCAGTATTTTGTTATTAAAATAAATATGAATCGAAAAAATAGCGAAAAAGCCATTTTGGAGCAAGATCTTTGACGTTTTAATTGTTGTCAAATGTCTGGGCGTAGCCCCTACATCAAACAATATGCAGGATACTTATCTATACCTGAAAAAGCACAAATACTCATTATGTATCTAAACCCTAATTTCTGTGGAGTTTGGTTCAATACTAAACAATACGTATTTTTGACTAGATTATTGGTTAGGGAGATGTTTTGTATGTTCAATGGATTGAATTCACACTGTATGTAACAAGTACCTAATACACAGTTATAAAAAAATATGTAAAATAGTTTAAAAGGTAGGTATTGAATAAATACTGATTCAAATTTTTCATGAACGGTAGTTTCATTCCTCCATTATCCTGGGAATTGTGGGTCTTTCATAAAATGTGTTCTTTTTACTATCATTCGGATTTGATATTGAAAAATGGCAATTAAAATCATCATTACAATGTATTTCTTTTTTTATAGTACAAAGTGTTCATCAATATAAGTATTAGAGTTTGAAAAACAAGATAGTTAAGTACTTGAAAGAATAAATAGGAATAAGTGACTTATTTCTTCTTTGTTTTGGACTATTTACAATCCGAATACTTAGTACGTTGTGACTAGATTCAAGAAGCTTGGAGCTGTTCTTTTTCAAATTTCATATTACAAAGTACACTATTTAAGTTAAATGATATCTTCATAACATTGGGACTTGAACCATGTTTCTAAGCTGAACAAAACTGGATGGTATAATTTCGATTGAGATCTTCACTATGTCGACCATTATTTTCATTTTTTTTAATTAAAGTAAAAAGTCGACATTTTTCAATACATTTATCAAAACGAGAGAATCCCAAAATATCTAGAAAAAATATTGAACAATATTATATAAAAATATAAAACAAATGCAACGGGAAGAACATACTAAATTGTCAAGGAAACACCAGTTTTCGAAATTGAATCAAAAAGTATCTTCATAGAATATTCGAGAGTAGAATATGCTGCAACAGTGATGAATCGAAAAAGATTGTTGAATAGCGTATATGAGGGCAATTCAACATGTCTGTGCTGTAGAACCTGAATACAACCCTGTTCTTCCGACAGGGCAAATGAAAGTCTGATTCTTTTGATATCTGACATTTTGACATTTAACAAGTGAAGTTGAGAGTGACATATAGAAAAATCAATGGGCGTTATCGAAATCGAAGTTGTTCAGTTGTTAATGGCTGTAGAACGTGAAAGCTTCTGATTATGTGTAGTCCTTTATAACTTTGTTCATCTTGATTGAAAAATTTGTCAAGGTGATTCAATAATGATTTACGTCTATATCATTTATTATCTGTATTGCCCCTTAGTTTGTACAAAATAAACTGAATTAGTTATAACGCGAAACAAACAAAAAATTCGTTATATTTGTCAGTTCTTCAGGCTATGGGCTCAATCACTCAGTGATCCAGTAGAGATATATATTGGCGGGAAGACAATAATTCGGTCTGAAAAAGTCAGGTAAAAGAAGCACGGAAATTTCGAGTTTGTAACAGGGAAGAACTCTTGTGGAAGCAAACGAAAGTGTGGAAAGTTATCGGAGAAGACTTCGGAAAGATGTCGACGATTACACAAAGCATAAAGCCGTTCGATGGTACCAACTATGAAAACTGGGAATTCAGAATGAAAAGACTCCTGCAACATCATAAGGTTTTGGAAAACTCTGACGACGGAAGTCCCTACAGAATCCACTCAGTTAGCTGTTTTCAAAAACAAAGATCTGAAGGCTAGAAATCCAATTGTGAAATGCCTCTCGGACAATGTATTGAATATTGTCAAAGACAAATCAACTGCTAGAGAAATCATAAGTGAATTTACTACTAATAATTTATAGTCTTTTATAATATATCAAGTCTGCAGTTCTTCAAAGATTGTATGGAAATAATGTGAAAATAAATATATATTTTTTTATCATTTGGAGGGCACGAAAGAGAATCCCTATAAAAACATCGTGCATGCCTTGGGAGGATTGAAGATTATAAGTTCTTGGGAATACTTTCATTAGCAAAGAATTTCAGAGCTTTGATGTTCTATGGACAAACTATTGTAATGTAACTAACCGAATGAAGATTATTCAAATGATCGAAGACGATGATTGGCGGAAGTATGCTCACCTGCGTTGGTGTTAAACCTTGTAGCATAAAAAGCATAACGACGTTGAAGTAAAAGAATTATTTTCTGGTATTTACTGCTAATGTGGAGCGTTCTGGGCTATGAATATGAGAGATAAAGATATGTCACAAAGAGCTCAAATTTGCACACGAAATTTCTCAACTTATCATTCGGGAAGTGAGCTATCACTTCATCATTCTTTATACGATTTTCTGTATAAAGACTGACTGACAAAAAACGCCCCAAGCCATATCTAACAAATGAAACACTGACATTCATTTCAGTGACATTTATTATCAGATTTGATGATACATCACCGAATTTCATCAAAATATCTATTTTTTGGCAACCGGGCATTTTTTTTAACTTGACTAATTTTGTCCAAAACTTCACTTGTAATACATCACCCTATTCAAAAAAATATCCCTATTAGAAAATGAAAATTTGAAAAATATATGGTTCTATTTGAATAAAAGTAGTTCACAGTCGCTACCATTAGTTCACATTTGAAAAAATCAGAGTCTACTCATAGTATCTGATGAGATTGGGTGCCAGGTAGCCGTGCGGACAGAGTGTCAATATTCTAACCCTTATTCGCTTGCCCATTGTGGGTTCGATTCCCATCGACTGCAGAAATATTTCTGATGGCCCAAGAAAGTGTTTGGGATCACACGTTAAAAGGTAAGGCCCCCTAATCTGTGCTCCCGTCATTCCTTGCTCGCACAAGTTTCTGGAAGACTTCTGAGGGTTGCTCGTGAAGGGGCAACCGAATGACGGATGAACGAACGAGTCATTTCATTTGCTGTTTTACTATCCAGAATCGTACAATCTATCAAGATATTCATAGAGATTTGCAGTGAAAGCATAATTTTTTGTACGAATTATGGCGATGAGGTTATCTAATTTTGAAGTTTTGTCATAGTAGGCATTAATACTTGGAAAATATCAATAATGATTAGTAAAATGAACTTTAAGATTGAATAGAAATCATGGTTCGAGTCCCTTTTGTCAAAGTACAGTTGTGGGCATAAACAAGTCGTACAAGGTTTGTATGGTGTAAACCTGCCTATGATGTTTCAGATTACATTAAAAAGTAGTGCACGTACACATTTACGCGTTACTGATAAAAATAGTTTGAAGCTTGACTCATAATATATGTAACTGCTGTACGACTTGTTTATGCACACAACTGTACATCAAAATAAGCCAATAAAAAGAAAATAGAAAATGAAATATAAAAACTCACAATTTGATGAGTCAATGTCTTTTCTAAGACTATAGCATAGAAAACTATCAACTTGAGCTCTCAAGGCAAAGCAGAAGTTGACCAAAAAATAAAGAGATGTTTCAATAAACACTCTGCACGCTTTAAAAACTCAGAAGTTATTGTAAATTGTGATAAAAAATTCGCAACAGATTGAACTTTGTTCTGGTCATATTCTACATAATAATAAAAAATATGAATAAAAGTAATTACAGTCATGTATACAAGTATACAACTAATATAGAGTAGAAAAGAAATACTCTCAATATTTTTTCCTTTAACAATCGGGTGGACATCACATTCACCTGCGCTTTAAAAACAACAAGACCACTTCTTTTCCGTTTCCAGGCTATAATCTGAAAACATTGTTCATTTACCACTTCATCTACAAATTCTGTGAACCTGTCCACTGTTCAGCAAATCCTGGAGATAGCAGTATAAAATTCCTGCTTGCGCCATCACATCTACAGTGCCTGCAGCAAGATTGTCTTTTTGTTTTGCAAAATCGATTTTAGTAGCAGGGCGGAGAAGTGTAGGACCGAAAACAGTAGCTAAATTGTGTAGCGACATCTTGTTGTCACTCTCATGCTTGTGTACCCTAGGAACAAAAATATCGATGTCAACAATCAATTTGCCTACTAGAAAATTAAGAGAATTGTGTTTGAAATTTGAATTATTCTTCCTCAGATATGAAAATGGGGTTGTACCAAATGGTTGAAATAAACTACTCAACACTAATTTCGTCGCACACCAAAATTTCGCCCCTGTTATAATGTGAATAACTTTTTTCAGTTTAGAACAATTTGAATTTGGTTCACACTGTTCGATAGCCCAGTCCTTCAGCTATAATCTCGTATTTCATTGAAACATAAGGATATTCACATAAAATCTCTACATGGTGTTTTCCGACACTGTGCAAAATTTCGGAATATTCAAAAGGCTCTCAAATGGTGAAAAAAAATGTTTTCTCAACTTCGACAACAGAGGCATGACGATGATCTTATTACCTCGAGATGTTTCGCGAATCAACTTCCTATCTCTCTTATTTACAGAGTGATCTCAAAAAATCAACTCTTTGGTTTTGCAGCCATAACTTTTTTTTACGTCAACCGATTTTAAAAATGTTAGGCTCATTTTGAAGATAAAACTTCAGATGAAGAGATCTGAATATCGAAATTGACTCAAGATGGCTATCAGAGATCTAGAGTTTTCTTGAAAGTGACCCAAATCTGGAACGCCCTCCGAATCTCGGTTGGGAGGAGAATTGAATGAAAATCAACTTGTTCTCGGAAAAACAATTCATTCTGGATGCGTCCATATTTTCCTTGCTCTCAGTAGTCAAGTATTGTGCGTGAGAAAACACAATTGAAACATGTTCTTGCAAAAACATCAGACCACTTCTCATCTGTACTGCATGGCCCGTAACCAACGTTACAAGAATCACAATGGACTGACAAACCCGACCAGCCAAGAGCCAAGGCTCATCATAAATGATGTACAAACAACCCTATGCGGTCTCGCATTGTCATCAACGAGAACAAAGTTGTCACCTACATTCGCGTTAGATGCGGCATCGAAACTATCGAAATCTGTTTATGATTCGAAAACGACGTCTAACCTGACTTGTCAGTCACTTACTATGATTCTTGTATCGTTGGTTACGGGCCATGCATTACAGAGGAGAAATTATCTGATGTTTCTGCAAGAACATGTTTCAATTGTGTTTTCTCACGCACTTATTTCTTGACTACTGAGAGCGAGGAAAATATGAACGCATCCAGAATGAATTGTTTTTCCGAGAACAAGTTGATTTTCATTCAATCTTCCTCCCAACCGAGATTCGGAGGGCGTTCCAGATTTGGGTCACTTTCAAGAAAACTCTAGATCTCTGATCGCCATCTTGAGTCAATTCTGATATTCAGATCTCCTCATCTGAAGTTTTATCTCCAAAATGAGCCTTGTAAAGGGTTAAAGGTACCCTTGACTTTATTCGGGCACTTGAAGCGGGTTCTTTAATTATTTACAAGAAATGTTAACTCGGGCGCCACCTATATTATAGTGGTAGGTCCACTTGCTCCGGGCAGCTTTCAGTGAAGAAACGGTTATCCAGGGGTCTGATATCTATCTCTCAAAATGATAAGTTGATCTCAATAATTGGTTTGATTTTTCCCGGATTACCAACTGCTCTGTTATAAAACAAAAATGAAACTCAATATCAACTAACTTGATTTATTCCTTAACTCTACTATACAATCATCTAGTGAATCTACTATCCTAAATATAATTTATGTTCCTATGGGTCTTCCCCAGTATATGTACAAATTTACCCCAAGAAACCAGAAATCATTACCTTCTGTTGACGCGGAATGCAAAATGCATTTATCACTGAAAAATCTACTCATTAAATACAATCAAGCAATAAGCACGCAATCTAATTATCGACACAGGCAGGGTTAGAAAAGCATCTCTAGTACAAAGCCTCTAGCTCTCCAGCTCAAATCAAACTTTTATTTTCAAGCACAAGCAGTTAATAGTAAAATAAAAGTGCAGTTGCAGTGCTTCGGTTGACTCCGACAGGGAATCTCCTTTTTTTTCGATGCACTTGGCAACACCGTCCTATCACGAGCGTGACCCAGTAATAGAGCCGTGCTGTACAATTGGATCGAAGATTTCCAGAACTCCCGTACTCTGATTCATCCGGCAACACCGTCCTACTACGAGCGTGACCCAGTAATAGAGCCGTGCTGTACAGTTGAATAAAAGATTCCAAGATCTCCGGTTTTCCAATTCATCCGGCAACACCGTCCTATTACGAGCGTAGCCCAGTAATAAAGCCGTGCTGTGCAGTTGGACCAAAGTCTCTAAGGTCTACCACACTTTAATGCATCCGGCAACACCGTCCTATTACGAGCGTAGCCCAGTAATAAAGCCGTGCTGTTCAGCTGATTAAAAGTTTCCAAGATCTACGGTTTTCCAATGCATCCGGCAACACCGTCCTATTACGAGCGTAGCCCAGAAATAGAACCGTGCTGATAAACTGAATCGGATATCCGGAATCTTCGTAATTTCAATTCATCCGGCAACACCGTCTTATCACGAGCGTAGCCCAGTAATAAAGCCGTGCTGTTCAACTAAATTGAAACTCACGAGATCTAAGCAAACTCAAGAACGGCGGTATCCGTTCTTGCAACCTACACAAGCAGCACTGTTATCGTTTGCATATCAAGCGGACTCACCTAAGTAAGTTTATTTTCAAGCACTTGCGGTATCAAGTGGATCGGTCTAGCGGTTTCTATTTTATTCCTCAGCGTGTAATTCGGTATATGCGGTCAGCAACAACTAACTTTTCTTGGTTCCTATCGACGGAGCTCGCCTCGGGTTCCCACTCTCACCCGAGAGTGGGGCGAAAATTGCGCTATCGCGCAGCCGACCGCCGTCCGTGAGTCTCGGCTATGCTTCGGATATCTCTATTTCGCTATCATTTAATTACTGATTAATCCAACCTATCAAAATTCTAATTCGCGCTCACGAACAAATTACAGTATTACTCCCGGAGAAATAAATGATTCAGTTACGAAAAAGAACGGCGCCGATAGCTTGTCATTTACTCAAGTTAATATCATCAGAGTTATTCTCTATACTAAGTATACAGGATGTCTCCCCTGAGAGTAATCAAATCTGAGTAACTTCGTTACATCCCCCCCTTACTTACAAAAAAAATAATTTTAATTATTTTTCATAAACTGACACTTCTGAAACAAATATCAAACGCCAAGGGAAAATATGTGTTTGAATAAAACTTCAATTCCAACCCTCACCCTACTCTAAAAATAGTTTAAATATTTCTCCTTCAGCCGGCACTAACCTATCCCCACATTTCTAACCTAATTTTACAATTATACCCTATCGCGGACTAAAAAAAAAATTAAATTAAAAGTAAATCCTCTTCGGTGGTGTCCAATCCCTTATCCTGGAATCCCTGGTTCAGTGTCGCGGATGTAGCCTCGCGTACGGGCAGCCACAGGTGGGACATTTTTCGTGGTCACTGTGCCGTCTATCCCGGTGTCGGGAGCGTTCCTGTTGGCGGCCTGGGGAAACCGTACAGGTCGACGATTTGACTTGACGGGAGCAACGGCAATGACGGGACATAACTCCCTTCAACCCGCATCTTGAGCAGAACACGATGGGAGCGTTCTTGCAAGTATCACGACGATGGCCAAGTTGTCCGCAGCGCCAGCACAGCACGCTTCCTAAGATGACATAGCCAGGACGCTTGGCACGACTCTCGGATTCTAGACTCGAGGGCAAGGCCGCTAATTGTCCTGCCAATTCGGCTGCCTCTCGACTTCTCTGACGATCAGCCTTTTCGGTCCACAACTCATCTCGAGTTGGATCCATATACGGATATCTGGGGTTAACTGCAGACTTTCGGGGCATTATTCTGATTAGCTAGAACAAATAAATGCTCATCTCTATCGGTTTCCTTCATGTCATGAGCCGGTTTGAGATCTTTTATGTGAACGCGGAGCAGCTTCTTACCAGAGGTGCTTTTGAGATCATATACTACTGGCGATATAACTTTTGTGACGGTATACGGCCCGGAATACTTGGGTGCCAATTTAGCGGCAAATCCTCTGGTCGCGGACGAGAGATGATAATCCTTTTTCATGACCTTGTCCCCAAGATGACATCTCCATCCCCTCCTTCGGAGATTGTAATGATGACTCTGAGTCGTAAACGCTCGGGAAAGGTTAATCCGGACGAATTCAAACACTTCTCGGAGTTTGCCTAGTCTATTGGCACGGTCTGTTGTTTCCTCTGGCACATTTTCTATATCATCAGTTACCAAATTCTCTGGACGGTAGACAGCTCCTGGTTATTCCAACTCCCTCCCATAGTTGAGGAATGCCGGAGTATATCCGGTGGAGTCATGGCGAGCTGTGTTGTAAGCGAACACTAGTTCAGGTAGGTGTTGATCCCATTTGCGATGATCGCCATCGCAGAACTGCGATATCATGGTCTTCATCGTCTTATTGGTCCGTTCTACAGGGTTCGTCTGCAGGGTATAAGGTGGAGTTAAACGATGTCCAATCTTAAGATCTTTCAACAGATCTCGAAACGGTGAACCAGTGTACTGAGTCCCATTATCGGTTATGAAGGTTTTCGGGCACCCAAACCTGGTGATTATTTCCTCATACAAAGCTTGACTCACTGCTTTTGCTGTTGCCTTCCGTATTGGGCGGCACTGGATCCACTTCGTGAATCTGTCTTGGAATACTACCAAGTAGTTATTCCCTTTACTCGAGCGAGGCAGTGGCCCGACCAGGTCAGAAGTCACAGTTTCCCAGGGTTGTCGGTTGATGGATGGTTGCATCATTCCTGGTGTCTTCTGCTGCGAAGATTTATACTGCTGACAGGACTGACAACTCCGAACGTACTTAGCTATGTCCCTGAACATACCAGGCCAATAGTACCGACTAGCGATTCTGGCTGTGGTCTTGGCAATTCCGAGATGTCCAGCAGTGGGAGCATCGTGATTCTCCTTCATAACGGATGAACGGGCTGGTTTCGGGATGCACAACTTCCAGGGGTCGGATA